GTGCCCATTAGTAGATAAGTGCTGGTGTTGACTGGCAGACCCTGAGTGACAGATGAGTGATTACTCCCACACACGTTTCTGTGAAAGAGAGGGCTAAGGGACTGCTTGGCTTGAGACACCAAAGCCCTGTTTGCCTGCCTCCTCAGGCTTTTATTGTAACAACAGCTTGAACTAAAATTAACTATTAGATACTATCAGTAGGGTAAGCACCCTTGAGAAGACACATGCATCTGCAGTGTCCTTTAAGCAAGGACATCTAAAGACTAAACATGAAGATTCCAGTAAAACACCCAGGGGCTCAGACTTGTTTGGAAAAGTCAAGGCAGGGGCTGCCGACTTTTGGCAAGGTCCCCTAGAGGCCTCCGACCTTTTGGAGATTCCTCCTTATAGACTTTCCAACCAAGACCCATGCTTTCCCACAGATAAGGGAATAAAAAAGCTGGTACATTTACTCTGCCATAAAAGGAAGAAAATTTTACCCTTTGCAACAACATGGAAGGACCTGGAGAACATCATGCTAAGTGAAATAAGCCAGGCAGAAAAAGACAAGTGCCATAGGATTCCACTCATGGAATTTAATGAACAAACTGAACTACCAAGCAAAATAGAGACAAACTCATAGATAGAGACCAAGCAAATGGCTCTAGTGCTGGGGGTTGGGGGGAGGGGGTAATGTGAGTCAAAGAGAAAAAAAAAAGAGGTAGAAAACTCATGGACATGGACAACAGTGTGGTGATTGGGAGGGGAAGAGGGAGTGGAGGAGGAAGAGGCCATAGAGGGGATAAATGGTGATGGAAAATTTTTTTAAAATTAAAAGCAGTGGGAAGTCAATGAAGGATTCTAACCAGAGGAGTGAACTTTAAGTAAGCATGTATTATTTTGACAGATTTTAAGCTATAACAATTTAGTATATAATTGTGTTTGATTTTGCCCATCAATGTTTTATTATAGCATAATATTTCATTGCATTATTTTTCATTGAAATATTTTGTTTACTTTTAAAATCAGCGGTAAACTTTTTATTCCTATGACCTGCACTGTATATTTATTAAAAAAAGAAACTGGACTGCCTAAATATCAGCAAATAAAAAAATATATGGAATTAGGGTTCAATATAACTAAAAATGCCAATGTCTTTTAGTGAAATTTGACAGAAAAAAATATCTTCTATTACAATAATTTCCTTCTAGAATCTTGATACTCATAATCATTATACAATTGTTTGTGTTCCTCAGCCAGATGTCACTGTCATGGCTGCATTAGATTGCAGCACCTAATAAAGTTCATTTATCTATACTCTGATAAAATTTGAGCTTTTAGTTAATGCTTGAATGATTTTAGCAGTCAGTTACAGTGCCCACTGCCCTTGAACTTGTTCTTTTTTATATCCTCGCCTATTCCTGAGATGATTATATTTCAGGCCCACATTTTACCTATAAATTTGAGAATTCTTCATCTGATACTCTAATGAATGAAATATATGTTTGACCTTTTGATTTGTCTCTTATCTTTACTGTCTTTTAGGAAGATGATTATTAGATGTAGTTTATGTGCTAAGGCCTCAAGTATTTGATTCAGCCTAAAGATGGATCAAATTTTCATCTCGTTTAAATATAATTCAGAGATGGAAAGAATGATTTTCATGACTTATCAGAGAAATAATTTGCCATCAAGGTTCCTTTTTCTTCATCAATTTATCCTTATTCACTATTACCTGATCTTTTCATGGATAAAAATTTATCTCTTCTTGCCATGGGTTTCAACTTAGGGACTGAGTGCTCATTTTGAAAGGGTAAGCTAGGCATCTAAATTTTAAAATTTGACCGTATTGGGAACCATTAATCATGTAGAAACTTTTGCAAAGCTATATGTAGTTAGTTTGGTTTGGGTCCTCAGGGACACATGAAAATGTGAATATTAGAACACTGGGAGAGTCGAAAGAGAATAAAGGATTACAACTATGGAAGAATGTTAAAGAGTGAATGAGGATTTTTTGTTTCATGCAGAGGGGCCAACTATGACTTAAACATCTTTATGATCATGAATATGTTAAATAATGTTGAAAGAATTTCCTTTGTCTCTAAAGAGGTCAGAAAAAGGATAATAGATTTAAGCTTAAAGCACTGATGATTGGTGTTATAGGATACGTTTTTTGGCTTTAAGGAAACTTATTGCTAGCATTTGTTGACATTAAGTGGGGAACAACGCAATAATTGGAGTCTAGTCAGCTTTGTGTTAGTAATCTATGGTCAATTGAATCAGTACCCTCTTTACTGCTGTAAATCCGTCTTGTGGGGTTAGGGGTGTGTGCAGGGGTGGCATAACTTAGGCTCTTGCTTTGTCCGTAAACTGTGGGGCCATTATGATCAGTTAGAATAGATGCTTTAATCATTCAGAATCATGTAGGTAGAGGGAGAGCACTTTATAGAGTACAGTCAAGTTCAATTAAGCTCTTGCTAGGGCTGCTTAATACTAAGTATCCTGGTGCTTTATAGCTTAAATTAAATATTGTGAGCAACTTTCTAACATCTAATTTGATTTAGTAGGAATGGTTAAGCTAAGAAAATCCTCACTAACTAATAATTGCTCATAAGTAAATAACTAGTAAATGAATTTGTAATCTTTTTTACATACCAGGAGGTGGGAATGATTGGAAGCTGTTTTACGAAGTTGCCCACCACAGTGAAGTTAAGGCTTTTCTGTGTTTGTTTATTTTAGTTATGAATTTGGATTTTGGAGTTATTAATTCTTTGGGTTCCATTGCTTTATTTTGAACTATCTAGTATTGGAAATTCTCATCATTATTTTCCATGCTTTCAGGCGTAATAAACCTTATCAGCACTGTCTTTCATTAGTAAAGCAACCTTACCTGCAGGGATGGAGTGAGTAAAGTGTGTGATGTCCTCTCCCACTGACCCCGCTCTCCCAACCTAGATGCCGGTGCTCTTCCTCTCTATACCATATACACCTGCTACAGGCCACACCATACTTCACTTTCTTTTTCTCTAAGAATACTATTTGTCTTCCTGTCTCTCTACTTTCTAATTATTACTCCCTTTTCTGTCTATTTGAATGCCACCCAGTCTTCACTAACATTCATATTTCCTTTGTGTCTATTCTGCCCAATGTTTTATTTTTTGAGTGCTACTTCTGACCCTTTTTCAGCTGTTGCTTATTTGTTAGATCTAGAGTAAAGATATATTTCAAAACTTTATTATACTAAAAATATTATATACATATTGATTTGTTAGCTACATTCTAATTATTATGAAGATGGATTCTCTCATATGTCATGTATCCTCCAAGTAACCCAGTGCTAAGCACATAATAAGAACTCAGTATTTATTAGTAGTGTAATTGTAGGTAGGAAAAGTGGTGGATTAAGTGGTCTTGGAATTTAAATATGAGTATTTTTTTCTGATTTCCCGTGAGATTAAATTTTGACAATGTAAAATATATTCTTGAATAACTGAGGTCTGTGTTCACACTTTATTTTTTGAAAGGATGCTCAATCACCTGCAGGTTCTTTGAATAGGAGCAAGTGTCCATAATATATGACCTTACAGGATTTTAAATATTGTAATTACAACCAAGCTCTGAAAAGTAACTTGTGTGTGAAGATGGAGGGACAGTTGGGCTTTAAATTATTGAAAAATCGCAAACCAACACCCCCGTTGTTGCTGTTTTAATATACAAAATACAAATAATAAGATAATACTCCTATTTTTTCAGATTGAATTATATTACTCTGAGTTAAAAAAAAAACAAAACAGTTGGCTTCTGCATATACAAGTTCAGAGGACAATGTTAAGCATAAATGGTGAAACACAATTTATTACATATAGATCAGCGTTAAATCTCATTTCTATAATACAGGAACTATTGACTTAATCCCTATGAGCCTTAGTTTCTTCTTATGAAGTAGAAACAATTATAACGTATCTCAAAAGGCTAGAGGGAGGGCTAGAAAAGAGAGACCATCTAGTGCATCAAGCATTTTACCTGGTATCTAACACACAAATTGTCTCCTACTTTTCTCCCCCCGCCCCCCCCCTTATTTTAGATACACATTATTTAATTGAAATTCTTAAAGTTTTTGTTCTTGTAAGGTACCAGAGGTATTTTGATATTTGTAAAAAAGTTACTAATTATAACATTGATCCTGTGGGAAATTAGAGTTTGAAAAAGAGGTTGTCAGTAATGCAACATAAATATTTTTTCAAAGAATTTATGATTTTTTTCTTTCACTTCAAAGTAGTACATTTGAAAAAATAATACTAAGCTTAAAAAATAAATGAAGACTTGTTGCTAGTTTGAGGTATCATATAATTTTCTGAAATCACTCAAAAGATCTCTAGGTGAATGAGAAAATAAAATTTGCCACCTTTACAAGGGCAGTAGTTTTATAGTAAAACAGTTTTAACCAGGCTCTTTGAGGAATGCAGTTTTCTGGCTAAAAATTCCTTTTGTTTCAACCCTTTACATAAATGTCTTATTTTCCTGCCTTAGAGAAATATATGTATAGAATATCATAGCTTCTTTGTTTGTAGACTGAGGGTCTTTCATTGCTCATTCTAAATAACAACGATGTGGTATGGCCGTGTGGACGGCCTTGTTCTGAGTAGGGTCAGATCAAGCTAAAAGTGACCCAGGGCATACTGTACTATGAAAAGTTACCAGCCCTCCTGCACCTCCCCCCGCCCCCCAAATCCCTAATATCATTGTTGCTTTTGTTTTATATACCACTTTTTTCAGACATTTTTCTAACAAATTGCAATTCTGCTTTCTTAAAACTGAAAATTTATTAAAGGAGACTTCGGAGATTATTTAGCCAGCATCTTCATTTTATAGATCAATAACCTGAAGTATAGGTTAATTGATCTGCTCAAGGATGCAAAACAGAATCATTAACAGAAACAAAGATGTAGGTTTCCTCATTAAACTGACACTTGAATAGTGTCCCAAATGTTGGTGGTTATCTTTGATCTTCTTTGAAACAGGTAGATCGACACTTGAGAAAGCTGGATCAGGAACTCGCTAAGTTTAAAATGGAGCTGGAAGCTGATAATGCTGGAATTACAGAAATATTAGAGAGGCGTAAGTAAAATTTACGTTTCCCATCCATGTTGGATAGTATGTGCACAAGTCACTGAGGAGAACTGGGCCCACGGAGACTTCTCAGATCTGCATTCGGTGGATGGTGGCAACCAGGTCGGGGAGCTTGGGCCTTGGCAGTAGAAACTGTTTGGGTCATGGAAACGGAGAGCAATAACATAGAATATTCTCACTGGCTATGAAAATAAAATGTGAAGTCATTCCATTTTTAATATGCATATATGCTAGTAAGCTGAATGGTAAGAGCAGAGATTTAAAGAAAAATAACCATCTAGAAACAAGTCGACCATTTGTCATGAAATGTATTGACTTTGTCCTGCCCGCATAGCCTTTGTATAAATTGTAAGCTTTGAATAAGGTTATTATTTCTCCTTAAGAATCGTTTTAAGGCTTTTCCTCAACTGTGTTAATAAGAAAAATTTTAATAGGCTCCCCAGTCCTGTCTCTTTCCTCTAAATTTTCTCAGATCAGCGAGAAGCCATTTTAGTATTTCTTTGCAAGGTTCTCAGCTTGATCTCTTGCTGTGGTTACCCTATAACTTCTTGGGTTTAACTAAGGAGATTTCCCAAAAGTGGAGACATAAGCTTTGTTGTTGTTTTTAACTAATTTAGCATTTATTCCAACCTAAATAGGTGATGTTCGTAAAAGCGTGTGGTGTGGTGTTAAGCCCAGAGTAGACACCAGCTAAATGTTAGTGAGCTAAATCAGTATTGTGGCTGATTTCTACTAGAAGCTAGTTTAAGGGTTCAAACATCTGTTTTACTTGGTGCATTTCAGTGGCAAGAACATGTACATATTTCTACACACACACCCCCGAAAAATTTACTTACAGTGTTAGGTTATGTATCTCTGTTGATATACTCTGTTAATATACTTTTGTTAACTAGAGAAGCAGCCAGGTAGGAATCCATAGCAATATTTAAAACGGATCCATCAATTTAGATGATCATTTAATTTAGTTGTGATATTTTATTCCAGGGGAACCCTATCTGATAATAATAAGTATTTTGAGACAAAATAAAATGTCCTTTAGCTGCTTTGATTTTTTTTTTTTTTGACACACCGTAACAGAAATTCATGCCTATTCCGTACTGCAGGAAGGTTCACACAGCATCCTCAGGAGGACACAGACAAATGAAACTAAACTGGGTCAAGATATAGAAACTGAACCACCCCATGCCCTGCCACAATTTCATCTCAAGGGATCACAATAAACACAGAACATTTATTTAAAAGTATTGTAAAGCTTGGTGGTAGATTCTATGCTTCACTTTTCACAAGCAAAATCCCTTTACTATCTTAGGTCATTTTAGTGATCAAAGAATTTCCTTTTGTACAGTAATGTCCCGTTGCTTAATACTTTAGGATCTCCCATAGAAAAGAGTTATAATAGCCATTCATCCACTTATTTGGTACCTACTGTTGTGCATTCCCTTAATTGAAATTAGCATGCCTTGACCTGTTTTGTACTGAAGGTGAATATTGAGAAATGGATTACTTATTGTTTACAGAAAGTATGCAGTTGATTCAGGGTGAAATTGGCAGTGGTGACCTAATGTGTTTGACTACAGTGACACAGGCATATACACCAGAGTTTGCTAGTTCTCTGCTGAGTGAGGGTGCACAGTCCCTGTAGGTGATTGACATGTAAAGTTCTGTGGTGACAGTTAATGACAGTGAATCTCTGCCATTTTTTTTCTTTTTTCAGGATCTTTGGAATTAGATACTCCTTCCCAGCCAGTGAACAATCACCATGCTCATTCACATACTCCAGTGGAAAGTAAGTTTGGTTTATTAGTGCAAATAAAATTTTAAATAGAATTAAAAGCTCATATTACCTGTATATTTTATTATTAGATCTACACAACTGATTGAGACATTAGTATCTTTCCCTTCCTTTTCTTTCGTTAGATAAATATTTGTCATTGCAATTATTGGCAGACTTCCCTTCTTCACTTGGGAGAAGCATCTTTGATTTGGGAACGGGGATCTGTTTTTCCCTAAAATCCATAGAGGAAGACTGTATGGTACTAATAGCAGCATATACTTCCTACACACAAATACCTAAGGCAAACAGCAAAGTACTCCATGGCGGGCTCTTTGTCTTTTTCATTCTTGCTTCTCCAGTGCTTAGTCTACTGCTTGGAAGAAATAATGTTTCACTTAGTGACTAAGTGAACGGTAAGCCAGTTGGCTTGATGACTGTCTGCATTTTTTGACAAATCAATTTGACATGATAGAAGGGTTGATTGAAAATTTATCTAAATTGTAGATAATGTTTTCAAAACAATTTCCCTCATGCTACATGTGAACCCATTGTGCATCGATGAATTAACTTCAGTACTTTCCTACTAAAATTTTTTTTAAATGTCTAAGAAGTTTGCTCTTGATAAAACATGTAACATAGAGAGTTCTGTTTGTCCTCTTATAAGAACACATAATGTTCTATATATCATGAGGAACTCAGATCATAAAATGTACCCATTTATAACTAAATGGAAGTATTATGCATTGTCTGTACTTCTCTAAAGTTAAAAAAACACATGGATTCTTTATATGCAGAAAGGAAGTATAATCCAACTTCTCACCATACGACAACAGATCATATTCCTGAAAAGAAGTTTAAATCTGAAGCTCTTCTATCTACCCTAACGTCCGATGCCTCTAAGGAAAATACACTAGGTAAGTATTTTTAAATGTGATTGGTTGCTGTTGCTTGTTCATGTTAAAATAAGGGAAAATTAAAGTACTCAGGATTAATGAATATACAGATTCTTTACCTGTTAATTTCTACATAAGGAGAAGAAAAAGGAAAAATATGACATGAAAATTTTAAATTAATGATTATATCTGTTGTGAGAAATAAAGTATTTTAAACACACTAACATTATGTTCTCTCTCACCATTTCTATTTATTCTTTGATTCTACACAGGTTGTCGAAATAATAATTCTACGGCCTCATCCAACAATGCTTACAATGTGAATTCCTCCCAACCTCTGGCCTCCTATAATATTGGCTCATTATCTTCAGGAACTGGTGCAGGGGCAATTACCATGGCAGCTGCTCAGGCAGTTCAAGCTACAGCTCAGGTAAGAAATGGAAAACGTGTGGAACAAGGTGTTTCGTTTTGTTCGAAATATTGGCAAATTCTAGTAGAAACAACTAGGTGTGGACAATGTTTTCTTAATTGCACAGGTTCATTTTTAAGTCATAGTTTTATGATATCTGATATTTTATTTAAAGGAACATGCAGAAATTACTTGATAATGAAAAATAAAAAGTAGATTCATACAGTCTCATGCAGATTCCTTCTCACAATAATTGTTCATGATGTCCATGTTTTCTGTAGCCTCAGAACATAGATTGCCTTGATTTTAAATTCTTTACACAAAATAGCTTAAAATTATAATGATGAAAATGGTTTAAACAAAATAAAGTAGAATTGGTTAAACCAAAGTAATGTAACTAGTAATACTTAAGAAAGACAATCTACATATGTATGTATATTAATACTGTCAATGAATGTCTATTCAAGATGAAAGAGGGCCGAAGGACATCAAGTTTAAAAGCCAGTTATGAAGCGTTTAAAAATAATGACTTTCAGCTGGGAAAAGAGTTTTCAATGCCCAGGGAAACAGCTGGCTTTTCATCGTCTTCAGCGCTCATGACTACATTGACACAGAATGCCAGTTCATCAGCAGCAGACTCACGGAGTGGGAGAAAGAGCAAGTAAGTCTTATTGCTACGGGAGCCCTGCCCCTTTACCAAGCGTGCAGCTGGCGGGCATCCCTGGCTTTCTCGTCAAACAGGGGCAGCATATGAGGGGTCGGGATCCTTGGAGAGGCGAAAGGCATGGCATTGTCATTCACACTGCCGTACTTTGAAGAGGTAAAGTCTTTTAAAAGGGTTAAGAGTCTTTAATTTTTCTAGTTTTAAATTGGGTTTATTAATTGTTTGTTTACTTTCTTTTATTCGTTAGGATAAACCATTTTATGAAACTTTCTTCATTTATAACCTCTTATTTTAGGCAAATTAATACATAAAATACAAATTAAGTCCTGGGAATTTTTTGTTTTTAAATAAGATTCTTCATTTTGATTAAGAACAAGGTGTCTTAATTCTTGGTCTTATGTCCCCAAAATTGAAATTATGAATATATCCCTAGATTTTGTATATTCTCCTCTTAGGATGATTGTATTGACTTTAAGTATGAAAACAATGGTACTTGGCAATGTCTGTCCTAAGTACCTGCATATGCTAGGTGTTCATACAGAATGAAAGTTCAAATGCTAGGCCAACAGAATTAGTTACCTAATAATTGTATTATAATTTTTTAATGTAGTCTATTTTTGTAAGTCCCTGAAAGAATGATCAATGTAGAATTACCACAAAAGTGCTAAGTATTTTAAAAATTAATTCATCTTAATGACCCAAATTTATTACAACTGCCAGTGATAAATTTTTGTATTTTTACAATTGAATTAGCATGCAGATAATGGTAAGTTACTTGTGAATTTTAAAACTTTTGGTTTCCTGTCCTATACAGGTAAGTATTCACACATTGGTTGATGATCATGATCATTTTTACCAAATGCTTTTTTAAAAAATATGGCTTTTTAAAATTTTTTTTAGAGAGAGAGAGAGATAGAAACATCGATGAGAGAGAAACATTGATCAGCTGCCTCCTGCACATCCCATATTGGGATCAAGCCTGCAACCCAGACATATGCCTGACCAGGAATCTAATCAGTGACCCCTTGGTGCATGGGAGGACACTCAACCACTGAGCCACGCTGGCCAGGCTCACCAAATGCTTTTGTGTACATCTTGGTATTTTAGATTTGATGACGACTATTCAGTGTGCTTAAAAATACAAAGAATATCTGTAAGGGAGCCATAACTAATACTAATTCTTAACGATACTGCCTACAATTTAAGTCAGTAGTAAATAGTAACTAATTTAAAAATTACTTTAAAAACTCTGAAATATTTGGGAAAAAATTTCCTTTTGAATATCTTTATTCTCCAGATAGCAAAAAATTTTAAAGAAAAATAAATCATTATGAAAAATGTTGCCCTTTGTTGTTCTAAATGATTATGCTTTTAAAACTATCAGATTACTTTAATTTGATCTTAAACATTAATTTATATGTTTGATTTCATACCACTTTTATTTAGTAGTTATTCTCAGGTAACTTCTGGATGTGAGCAAATAAATGCTGTTTTTTTCAGAAACAACAACAAGTCTTCAAGCCAGCAGTCATCCTCGTCCTCCTCCTCCTCTTCCTTGTCATCGTGTTCTTCATCATCAACTGTTGTACAAGAAATCTCTCAACAAACAACAGTAGTACCAGAATCCGATTCAAATAGTCAGGTCGATTGGACTTATGACCCAAATGAACCACGATATTGCATCTGTAATCAGGTAAAAGTCTGGTATATGTCTATAAAAGCATAATCTGAACAAACTAGGAAAAAACAATTTCATTTGTTTTTCAAGTGCTATCTTTACTCCAGTTAAAATACCCTTGCTTTTTTTATTCATATACAATTTTCTCTGGCTTTTTATAAAAATGACGTTTGTTATAAATACAAAGAGTATAAAGAAACATGTAAGTTATCCATAATCTCAGCCCTCTGATATAACCTGTAATTAAACATTTTGATGTACCACTACTACATATCCCACGTGCATATTGTCTTAGTCTGTTCATGTTGCCGTAATGGTATGCCACAGGCTGTGTGGTTTAAAGAACAGAACTCTATTTCTCTCAGTTCTGGAGACTGGGTAGTCCAAGATGAAGGTGCTGACTGATTTCATTCCTGGGTTAAGGAAAGGAAATCTTATATAAATCTTGGCAAATAAAAGTAGGTTACCTACAAAAGAACAAAATCAGATTCACCCACAATTTCCCCTCCATAACACTAACAATCAGAAGTTGATGAAATATGTATGTAGAACTTTGAGGGAGAAATTTGAGTGTTCCCCCAAAAACTGTCACCCAGAGTATTGTTCATGTCCATAGAATCTGAAAGTATGCCATCTAGTTGCCTTTTCTGAAAAATTATTCAGTCCATTGAGAACTTCAATGAATTCAGGAGTTAGGAAGTTGTGCTATAAAGTGCTAGCAGTGTACAGCAAAAGGAAAATTAGAAAGGACATATAATACGTAATGAGTTTAGAAGTTTCAATGAAATGGACTGTTGACTGCTAAAATGTAGATGATCTGATGTGACCCAAGAAAAAATTAAAACTGAAGCAAGTAAGTAACCAAAAAAGAAACTGAAGGTCTTTAATAAAGGAACCATCCACAGAGATGACTCCCACAGAGCAGGTTCTTTCAGACTTTCAAAGGGCATACAATTTCTGTGTGTCTCCCCCTCCACCTCCATAAAGTCTTTTGGAAAAACTAGGTAAATGTATAAATCTATGTACCCTGTTTCTTAATGCAAGTATATATTCAGTGTGTTTTCATTTTCTAATAGTATCATAAACAGTTAATTTGGATTTAGATGCTTGTTCTATAGTGATAAGATTTTTTCTTTAACCAGGTATCCTATGGTGAGATGGTGGGCTGTGATAACCAAGATGTAAGTATCACAGTTTTCTATTCAGGAATGAAAAAAAAATTACATTATTATTTGAATATTTTTATTTATTGTGTCTTTCAGTCTAAGAAAACAGTTTGCAGTTATGTTAATTATGTCATATTAGTGCTAGAAATATTCCTCTCCAAAATAGGATAGTGTCTCTTAATGTGTTCCCTATTTCAACTTTTAAAGCTAATTTTATGGTTTTATGCAAATTGTATTTCTCAAAAAGGTGTTACATTGTATGAAAATTAGAAACACCCCCTCCCCCTTTGCTAAAGAATATTGTGTTTGCTAGAATTCAATTCACTTATCACAGTGAAGAATTGGAACTTGAAAACAATACATTTTTTCAAGAAGCATGGTGCTTAGGTGAAGGGTGGGGATGTTGAGCATCTAATGTGAGATTATTTTCCTCCCATTAGTGTAGTATGTCCTATTGTACTCTGCAGGGGTCAGCTGATATAAAAAAAATCACTTATATAAAAAAAGGAGTCTTAAAATTGCTCTTCTTTTGAAAGCTTACTTTTGATTAGAGATACTCTTTATTGCATGCTGAGAATATGTTTGTTTAGTAATTTCACTCCCTCCTTACTTTCATATAACTCTTTTGTCCATCTTTTACTCCAGAGGGGTAACAATGCTGAATTCTATAGAAATCCTCCTCAGGAATGTTATGCTGAGAGATTTAAATTTATAAACAGTGTAAAGATTGAGCCAGGTTGGCTAGGTACCTTGAAATTTGGACTTTCTCTGACTTGACAGGGTCCCAAAACCATGTTCGCAGAGAAAGAGAAAGACCCTCCTTCCACTTCCCTCTTTAGAATCACTTGTGGGCTGCTGGTAATTATTGTAAAACAGTATTGCCCAAGCATTTCAAGAACACCATTGGAAACTGTCTCCTAGGCAGTTAGTGGAAATGACAAATCAGATTTCTGTGATTAACCTATCATATTCTGATCTCTCTCATTCCCAGTTAAGATTTTCTGAATGCGAAGATTTTCTGTGGAAGTGTAGAACTGCCTAATGCATTGCAGAGTACAGCACTTTTCCTCTCTGCATATCTAGGAATGGGTTTATTCAAAAGGGAAAGCCAGAGCATTCCTTTATGTCTTTAATTACAAGTAGCTCATTCTACTCAATGTGGGAGCAAATAAAGCTGAATCCTCCTATATAATAAAAGGGTAATATGTAAATTGACCAAATGGCCAAACAACAGTCGTTATGACGTGCACTCACCACCAGGGGGCAGACGCTCAATGCAGGAGCTGCCCCCTGGTGGTCAGTGTGCTCCCACAGGGTGAGCGCTGCTCAGTCAGAAGCCCAGAAGCTGGCCTCCGCAGCCGCATTAAGGATGTTCGACTGGGGAGTGGGCCTAAGCCATCAGTCAGACATCCCCTGAGGGCTGTTGGACTGTGGTGCAGGCCAGGCTGAGGGACCACCCCTCCCCCAGTGCACGAATCTCATGCACCAGGCCTCTAGTATTAAATAAAATCTTTAAAATAAATTTCTTTTTTACATAAGAGACCCATCTCACTTCTTATCTTTAAAAGTTGGTATCAACTTACTCTCCAAGAAAATGAAAATTAGTAAATTTTAGTTCATTATTTAGAATTATGGAAATAGATTACATGAATCTCAGTTAACAAAGGTGCATAATTTTTCTGTGCCTCCATTGCCTCATCTCTGAAGCTTATCAGTTGGACCGTGTTGTTTATAAATCAGCTCCTAGATCTAAACATTATGTTTCCATTAATCTAATATTTGGTGTAGTGGACATAGTTTAATATACTCCCTAATCTTTAAAGAACTAAAAACTTCTTTGCAATTTTGCTTTCTAGTGCCCTATAGAATGGTTCCATTATGGATGCGTTGGGTTGACAGAAGCACCAAAAGGAAAATGGTACTGTCCACAGTGTACTGCTGCCATGAAGAGAAGAGGCAGTCGGCACAAATAAAGATGGTCATTTCATTTGAGAAAGAGTAAGACTTCAACTAAACATTTTATATAGGACTTTAAAAGAGAAGAAAAGAGAAAGAAGATACAGTGCATTTCCAGGCAACCACTTAAAGGATTTACATAGGCAATCCTGTAAGATCTTGAACTTGAATTTTATGGGTTGTATTTTAATAATGTAAGTAAATTATTTATGCACTCCTGGTGTGCTATGAATATTATTCCAGTTAGCCTTGGATTCTTTCAGTGGCCAACATATGCAGACATTTGTATTCCTCAGCCGTTTTCACAAAGTAATGGGCATTCTATAATTTAGACTTTAAGAATTCCAACGATGAAGGTTTTAAGAAAAGTATTTTATATTCAACAGGTATGTTCTGCTGCATGTACTGCACTCCAGAGCTGTTATGTAACACTGTATATAAATGGTTAAAAAAAAGGTAGTGCTTCTAAAAAGAATTTAAGATAATGGTTTTTTAAATGCCTTTATAATAAGCTTTGTTTCTTTGTGAAACTACATTCAGCAGGCTGAAGGAAGTGGTTCATGTGATAAAGTGAGCTGGTGTCCTCTAGAGTACCTGGGTACATAAACAGAAACTCCTGTAGGTAAAAGCTACTCTGTGCCATTAGTCTTTCTATGTCTCTACATCCAGACCGAGTGCAGTTCATGAGGGTGGGGGGAGGGGCTGAAGGGGAAAGGGTATTAAAGTGATACATTTTTATACCAAATGTGTTTATTTTTTTGTGCAAGTAATCCTTAAAATTGGAATTGTATTAGGTGTTAAAATAAAGTTTTTAAAAAATTACTTGTATTTATACTTTACACACTTAATGAAAATTTCTCAATTCTAATTAAATTCCAATTTTCATAATCTAAGGACTGAGGCCCAGGACACAGAAAGCTGTTTAATCTGTGATTTCTTTAATAATGCTTAGAATTTGTGATGTGAAAATAAGGGAAAGACATTTTTAATGTAAATTTGAAATGCAGATGTATTTTTTTAGATCATCTTTCTGACTTTTCCTTCAGTTGGAAGGACATGAAAGAAGTCTAATTACAGCAGGTAAAATGAAAATAATGGTTATAGATATTTGACTTAAGGCAGTGTGGCCAATTTAAGTAAAGCGACCCCTGGATTGGAGCTTAAAATTCAGTTCAGTTTTTTATTTTACCATATACTAGTATGACGGTTAATTCAATTTTTTAATCACTCTGGGCCTTACTAAACCAGGGTGATGCTAGCTGTAGGAAGTCTCTAAAGCACTTCTATGGTTTTATTCTATAGGTGCTATTTAAATTATAAATTTTGCATACTATTGAGTCTGGTCAGTAGAAAAATCCTTAAAGCTTTTAAAATATTTATTATGTCATATTTTTTATATCAAAACGTACTGGGTACATCAGATTTTTACTTTAATGAAAACTACTTATGAGCCTCTTAGGACTTATTCAGAAAACTGTGACGTCTATGCAATGCTACCCAAAGGGTTTGGGTTAGATAGGGGATTTCAGAGTTCTCTTCCAGCTTCCCAATGCCACAGCTCTGAGCTGTTGCAGTCTGTTTTATAACTGGACAGCCCATAAAGCTAAGTTAGGTTCATTTGTGGGTTACCATGATTTCATAGTATCACTAGTATCACAATTTGGTGGTACCCAATATTTCATGGAAATTTTATAAATCTTTAAGAAATAATATATAACGTAGTATTCAATTAGCTTATCAGCATGTTGCCTGGAGATGCTTAGTGTTATTGTTTAATGTTCTAATTAAATGTAATGATTTTCCCAAACTTATTTGTATTATAGGAATTGGTCAAAGGAAAAAGCCTTATATTCAGCCTTATTTTCAGAGAAAGTTCCTTGTCAGAGTCAGGAACATCCCTACTTCCAGCTGCTACAGCCCTTTTCAGTATGTGAATTCCACTGCTTCCCAAATCACTCCGAAAACATTTTGACAAATCTTCAACTCAAACATTGACTATTTTGTGAAGTGTGTATAAAGACGTAAACCAAAACTTTGTGCAGTTATTTAATAATGGGTGGAACCTGTTAATATCTCAGATAGCCAGACATGGAACTACCTCATCAAAAATAATGTGGCCAACTATTAGTGTTTGTTGTGACATTGACAAAGGGGTATGATGAGCATTTTTGGTATTATCAAATACACATTCAAAAATCTTTGTTGTGTACAAAACTCATGTAACAATTGGTGGCATAAAAAAATACAAATGTGGGTTCACAGTTTATGGGGGGGGAATAAATGGCTTAATTAAATGCCTAAATGAAGCTGAGTGTTTGATAAACATACAATCATTCTTTTTAAGGGCAGTTAAATTTTTTTGCTCTTTTCTCCTTTAAAGCAAATTGTACCTATTTTAGATTTTTAGCAACCTTACTTAGGCTGATACAGCAATAGGGCCCTTTGTCCTTAGACCTCAAAAATGGTCTTCTTGATCTAATGAATTAATTCAACCTTAGAAAAATAAATGACCACTGTACTTGGTTTGGAAGGGGTAACATACTCTTTGCACGTGTAGACATTATAGAATGTAGACATTCAACTCTCACACGTTTAAAAAGACATCTTCCAACAAATGGGCTTTAAGAGGAAAGATGCCCTAGAAAATGCTTATAATTTAACAAACATTAAGCACCTAAATGTTGAGAATACAGAAATGCAAGTGTGTGTGTGTGTTTGTGTGTGTTTCTGTGGGAAGTGGGAAGGACAGACATGTCCTCAAACAGTTGCGGTATTTTTTCTTTTTTAAAGTATATTTTATTGATTTTTTTTAACAGAGGAAGGGAGAGGAATAGAGTTAGAAACATCGATGAGAGGGAAACATCGATCAGCTGCCTCCTGCACACCCCCTACTGGGGATGTGCCCACAACCAAGGTGTATGCCCTTGACTGGAATTGAACCTGGGACCCTTTAGTCCACAGGCCGATGCTCTACCCACTGAGCAACTGGTTAGGGCCAGTTGTGGTATTTTGATACACGCGATAGTGTATGAGTATACAAAGCTCTCTGGGAACACTGGGAGACTTGACCTAGGAGGTTTCATTTGAACTGATTCCTAAAGATAGATAGTAGACACGGTTTTCAAGGCAGAAGAGATTGTTCAACAACCACATACATTCTGGGAACTTAAAAGTAATCAGGAATGGGTAGACATGGGGTAGAGAGATGTGTCAGGTCGGGGAACGAAGCCAGAAGCTGGGCAAGAGTCTACTCAGGAAGAACATTTTACACTGTGCCATGGAATTGTGTCTTAATAGGAATAGTAGTGACATTTACTTATCGTTGGTTAAATACATTATACTGTTACTATTTAACAGTTTAATAAAATAGCATTTTTATGTTTGTATTGATTTTTAGAGAGAGAGGAAGGGAGAAGGAGAGAAAGAAAAACATCAATGTGACAGCGAAACATTGATGGGCTGCCTCCTGCACACCCCCTACCGGGAATTGAGTCCACAACCCAGGCATGTATCCTGACCAGGAACTGAACCGACAATCTCTTGGTGCACAGGATGGCACCCAACCAACTGAGCCACATCGGCCAGGGCAGCATTTTCTAAATAAGATGGTAAAATCAGCCCTGGCCGATGTGAATCGGTGGAGAGCATCGGCCAGTGCACCGAAGGGTCACAGGTTCCATTCCTGGTCAAGGGCACATACCTGGGTTGCAGATTTGTTCCTTGGCCCGGTTGGGGCGCATGTGGTAGGCAACCTATTGATGTGTCTCTCTCAAATTGATGTTTTGCTCTCTGTCCTCCTCCCCGCCCGCCCCACCCATCCCCTGCTTTCACACTATCTAAAAATCTATAAATCAATGGAAAAAACATCCTTGGGTGAGGATTAAAAAAAAAAAGATTATAAAATAGGCTGACAGTAGTTAATTATCTAAACTTGGAAATATTTTAAAAATTCTATACTTAAAATTAACCTTTTCTCCCATATTTTGAAACACTACAAATTAGAATTGCTAGTCAAGATTTTTAGATTTCCTTTTTAGATGATAAATCTAAAATATTTAAGCAGATTGTGATTTCTGACCCAGGATCTTAATATTCCTGATTTGATTCTGCTACAGAGAAGTAAGTTAAAGTTATGAACTGACTTCAGTATTTTTTTATTGTAATTAAAGTTTGTCATAAAAAAGAGGCATATTCCCTCTGGCCATTTATATTTTAAGGTAGTAAGTCATGTATATCTTATAAGTCAATATCCTAACTAATAAATTATTAGAGACTTCGATATATCAAAATGTTTTTTGAGATTAATTTCTTAATAAATTCTTTAGAGCCATATGATTCAGTTTTTAGTTAAGTCAATAGCCCCTTTTTATTTTCTTTACTGATGGCAAAAGAGGCATTATAATCATTCATTTTCCTGCTGCTTATTCACAGTTCGGAAGCCAGTGTGGTGAGTGAGTGTGGGGAATGTGTATGCTTGTGTGCATGTTGCTTATTCTCATTCTATTCCTCATTGCCTACTCTAATGAATAAGAATACAGGCAGTCCTCGGGCTACGTCGGACTCGACGTATATTCCGTAATTTCAACGTATGTACATAGGTGCTTTATGTTTTTTATTATTTATTTACCACAAGTAAAGGTCAGGAATTGTTATGTGCTCCATGTGAGTGACGTAGGTGCTTATGTAGGTGGATTCCGACTTAGGGCGAAAATCGCATTACGTCATGCCAGAGGAACGGATCTCCAACGTAACCCGAGGACCTACAGTAGTTTTCCTGTCCTAGCTGGTTTGGCTCAGTGGATAGAATATCGGCCTGTGGACTGAAGGGTCCCAGGTTCAATTCCGGTCAAGGGCATATGCCCGGGTTGCGGGCTTGATCCCCAGTAGGGGGGGTGCAGGAGGCAGCCAATCAATGATTCCCTCTCATCATTGATGTTTCTATCTTTCTCTCCCTTCCTATCTGAAATCAATAAAAGTATATTTGAAAAAGGAAAAAGAATAGTTTTCCTTAGGAAAGTATGTAAGTGCTAGTCTCCAATAATGAACTAATTTAAAACATTCACAAATTTAACAAAAGTTGTACGGAAAAGCAATGGTCATATTTTAATTCTCTTTGCATTGTTAAATCTACTCCAGGAGAGGGACCCTCCGTGTTGAAAATAAGAACAATTGTAATGGTTACCAAGTTACTTTAAAAAGTTTTCTAGGTCAAATGCAATTCAAGGGGCCAGTCAGGAATATTTCCAAGTAACTCCGAGCATAAATATGAGTCAGTTCATTAGAATGATTTACTAATATTATAACTAGTTAGTAGAACGTTTTAGTATGTCTTCCCCATATTCATATCCTTGGAGCACTTTGTATTTATCTTTAATATGACAAATGACTTTTTTTTAATGGGTTTCTCAAGTGTGCCAAAAGATGCTCTCACTTTACCAATTGTTGTCATTTATATATGTTAAAAGACCAGTCAGTTCTCTTGTTGAAAACAAGAAAAAAATTAAGCTGATATATCAGAGATCATATGTTTTAGATATAGAGGTAATCTTTTGACTTCATGTGGTATACCTGTGACAAAAACCTTGTCAAAGAATGTTTCCTTCTTATCACCCAGACTAGAGACCAGATACATGAAAATTCACTCATGGGTAGGGTCCCTAGGCCTGGCCAGTGATCAGGGCTGATTGGGGCCTTCCAGCTGCCCGCCGGAGCCTCCCTTCCCCAGCTGCTGGCCAGGGCCTTCCTTCATTCCGTGCTGCCCCCTGTTGGTCACACGTCATAGCGAGCAATTGAACTCCTGAAGGGACAATTTTCATGTTAGGCTTTGATAGATATAGATTAGTCTTCCCCATATTCATATCCTTGGAGCACTTTGTATTTATCTTTAATATGACAAATGACTTTTTTTTAATGGGTTTCTCAAGTGTGCCAAAAGATGCTCTCACTTTACCAATTGTTGTCATTTATATATGTTAAAAGACCAGTCAGTTCTCTTGTTGAAAACAAGAAAAAAATTAAGCTGATATATCAGAGATCATATGTTTTAGATATAGAGGTAATCTTTTGACTTCATGTGGTATACCTGTGACAAAAACCTTGTCAAAGAATGTTTCCTTCTTATCACCCAGACTAGAGACCAGATACATGAAAATTCACTCATGGGTAGGGTCCCTAGGCCTGGCCAGTGATCAGGGCTGATTGGGGCCTTCCAGCTGCCCGCCGGAGCCTCCCTTCCCCAGCTGCTGGCCAGGGCCTTCCTTCATTCCGTGCTGCCCCCTGTTGGTCACACGTCATAGCGAGCAATTGAACTCCTGAAGGGACAATTTTCATGTTAGGCTTTGATAGATATAGATTAGCTAAATCAGTGG